GAAGGGACTCTCGCATGAGGCCCGCCATCCCCCTCCAGAAGCAGGTGGCCATCGCCCTCTGGAAGCTCTCCACGCCGGACAGCTACCGATCCATCGGGAACCAGTTCGGCGTGGGGAGATCCACCGTCGGAGCGGTGCTCATGCAGGTATGGCACTCGTCGGCCACCAAGCCAGGGGGAGGAGCTGCAAGGAGGGGATGGCCCGCCCCAGAGACAAAGCGGGGGAGGGAGGAGGCAAAAGTGCCCCGCACCGGAGTGGTCGGTCTGCCCCGGCTGTACTACATGCCGCCAGGGGGGTTGATTCTGGGAGTGGGGCGCCTATGAAAGTTAGTTCGAACTAACTTTGTAGTGTAGACATACCCAGAAAGACTGGTATTTTAAGGTAACTATCTCTCCTCTTTTGGCTTCCTGTTTCTTTCGGGGGTTGCAGCGAAATTGCCTGCAGCTATCTGTACACATAGCTAAAATACAAGATTTTATGCAAATGCAGTCTCATTGTGTGTGTGTGTGTGTGTGTGTGTGTGTGTGCGCATGCCCCACATGGGCACACAGCTTACTCTGTGTTTTTCAAATACACCGTGGGTTGAGAACTAAATAAATATTATAAATACTCTCAAGATCAGACATAGTTCATAGCTTCTGCTGTAGCCTCTTCTGAGAAAGCCAATTCCCCAAAGTGAAAACCACTGACAGTTCAGAGGAGCATTTAATTTGTTTCTCTTTTGTTTGTAAAGCAGGATATGTTAACGTCCAAGTTATTCCCTAATTCCTATAATGCTCCATGAAATAGGAGTGGCTCAGGAGTGTACATTTGTGGTAATTAAACCAGTATGAAATTTGCACTGTCAGGAAATACACAGCTCTTTCTTGGCCAGCCACTCATCTATTTATAGAAATACACCGGGCCATTAACTTGAGAGGCAATGACATCAAGAAACAGATATTGAGAGGAAGCCAATTTGCTTGACAAAAACATCCATTACATTTATCACCAGAGGAAGCTGAAAAGTAATCAATTAGAACGCTTCAGTTGGGAATGACTAATTGGATTATTAAAAATACAGTCACTGTGAAGTCACTGTGGTAGGCCAAATATTAATACTCTTAAAGGCACAAGATGTTATAGATGACTGGCTGATTCACACAAGCTGGGAAGCAGATCCTTATTTAGTCTATTAGTTCTCGTTTCTCATCAAAGTTTCTGGTTTTGTCAGTTTTAAAGACCTCGTATAACTTTCTCCAACAAGATGTTAATACGGTACTGCTTCCAGAGGTGTTGTCAGATAATTAGTTCAAAGCAGATAGGTAAATGAATTTGCTTCTTCTTTTCCCACTTACCAATTTGGCCCATGATGCTACTAAACAGGGCCAAATCTTAGCTCAGAAATCAGCCTTCTGCCCCTTCCTCAATCCAAGTAGCAATTATTTAAATCATTCCTGC